ACTGTTTGTTTTGGACGCGTATCTACTGTCGAGGTTTGTACAAATTGCGAATTTCTCTCACCCTAATAGTACCGTATAGAAACCCAGCTCCGACTTTGTTTTGCCTACCCGGAGGTTCTGGTATTACGCGTCACTCGAAGATACCGTTCGACCGTTACAGGGTCTTATTGCGGCTAATCCACCAGCTACTCACCCTTCTCAAGTACCCCCTCTAAAATGGTCTAAAGGCTGGACGCCTGGATATTCCGACTTCATCCTTAAAATCTTAAATATATCCTACACCGCTGGCACAGTTGCAAGTGAATTGCAGCACTCCAACACTGTTCTGCACTATGGGTGAGTTCTATGAATTGCTCCAGCTGGCTATCGTGGCATCCACCACACTTGCGTGCTCTCCCTACACCATAAAGCGTCCTATCAAATTACCTCTCATGAAATAGCTGCTCATCACAAAGCTTTCTAAAACACACTACTATGGCGTCATGGCCTGGCAGTCAACAAGCACGTGCCAGGTCGGTTCCTTTAATCATATTTCGTCTGCCAATGATATGTGTATATTATGCATTATATATACTATATATTGTTCTCAACCACTTTGATATTCGCGAGGCATTCGACCGAGTATTCAAGGTACGATACACGTGAATTGGCAGACCATTCGTTGTGCACGGGTATCTACTGTCGAGATTTGCGTGTTTTGTGAACTCGTCTTGCACTAATAGTACCGTATAGAAAAATAGCTCCCAATAATTTTGCCCTCTCGAAGGTATCTTTCTCCTTGATCCACATTACTTACATTACCACCGGCAAACTAGCCCTTGAAAAGCACGAGGATTATGCCACCGTAGACCATTCTTTTAAATCTAAGACGCTGTGTTCCCTCTTTCAAAAGCGTTGCTTCTTTAATTCTCCTGCAAATTCAAGCATAGTGGCCACCAACTGACAACCTCTCTCTGACTCTGATGGTATTGAAGAGTTCGTAAACTCTTTCGCCGCCGGCTGCTATGTGCATTCGGCATCAACCATCTCTACTCATTGCTCCCGACCTGCTTCTGTAATGACCACATCTCTCGCTGAGACGAACTACATCCTCTGCGCACTCTGTTACTGTATATGACTTAACTTTCTCACTCTTTTACTTTAGAGACTTTAGAGGCACTGGCGGTACCTCCTTGCTCACCCTAAAAGCCGTTAACCTGGAGATCCCCACCCTCATTCTTAATCTCTTCAACACCCACCTCATCACTAGCACAGTTCCAAGTCAGCGGAAGTACTCCAGCATTGTTCCGCGAAATCGGGTATGGAGTCCCTTGTTGTGTGCATGAAGGACCAGAAGCATATCACACAAAGAACTTGTGTGAAACAAGAACCTTAAGATGTACTAAACAGACCCAAGGGATTTATTTTTTGTTGAAAAATGATGTTGAGTACGCTCAGACGCCGGTTAGCAAAGGGTTGACATATTGGCAGTTTGGGTGAGTTTATTGGTCGTTTATCAAGCTGATGTTGATCTGTTCGTTGAGGCTTCACAATCGACTTGCAAACGTTTTGCCATCATACATGGGGACATCATCACTGTGCATTTGCGTTCTGTCGTTCTCTTGCCCTTATGTTCAGTACACATCAGCTACTGTGAGCCAGGGAACGGCAGAACAAGGGGAACAAGAAAGCTTGATCCAAACGGATACTTCAACTTGATCAGAGGCTCCAATCAAACAAATTAGCCGGCGGACGCAGCAACACTATTGTGGTAACCAATCGACTTAAAGGAACGAAAACCACAACAGAATAAAGGCACAAGCAAACCAATAAATTCGCGAAAAACGCTGCCAACCAACTAGCCAATCACATTAAAAGCCAACAGTCTTCAAATGCTGAGTTGATGTTCTTGTCATAACGATTTCATCGTTCCTTCGCTTCAAGTTATCTTTTTCATGTTAGACATGTGCCTCGCCAAGGCTATTCTGTGTAGATTGTGGTCTTTCACGTTTGTTAGTGTTACCATTATCAAGTTCGCGAAACTTACCCGGACAATGTTCTACCTTAAGCGACTTCTAACACCAGTCAAGTTTCACGTACAATAATCCAACGATCTTTTTATAAGCCCCATAAACCAGAAAGGCTTAGAAAATTTTTCACCGAATTTACTCTTGGCCTGGAACACCGTTTCAAAGTTGTTACAGATGCACCCGAATTGAGAATCGAAGATTTGCACTGTCCGAAAGCAGTGTTCAGAAATCCAAATAATGACATTTGGAACAGTGCATTCCACATTTCACTGTTTCGCGACTGAATATTGAGCAAACAATACAGGACTCAAAGGTGGACTTCCGATAGTTTGAATGTGCGATACTCTGTGCGCGGGCTGGACGGTTGGCTGTTCCTAGAGGAAGATTTTTTGCGAAGGAAACACTCATTTCCTAAACTACTTCCCATTGCTAGTGAGAGGTACGTGGACAACAGAAAAGGGATTAACAACCCGCTAATTCCGCATCCCTTGCATATACAATGGTGACTAGAAGCGTTTCGAACTGTTGCATATAAGCTCCAGAACTGGGAGACCCTCTAAAACACTGTACAGAATTCGATTTGGGTGTCACTAGTTAGAAATATCATAATGAATTCTGGATACCCAGCACACACAACATTTAGGGTTACCAAGTTAATTGCACTCGAGGGGAGTTTGTCCAATTGACGGAACTGAGAAAGCAACAACCCGGAAGCACCTGCACTGTTGTGGATCGGAGAACCTCTGTGGGTTTGTGTTGTTAGAAAAAGCAAATCTGTTCTGGGTTTATAAAATCGAAAAAGGTGGTTCACACAGGACTGACACAAGGATCCCCACCCACCGTGCTGAACACCGTCCCCAAAACCGATCAAATTTTTAACTGGAAAAGTTACCAGATGAGACTATCAACGAATTTGTACAAAATGTGCCCAAAAACTGTATCCTTCCTCACTCCGTCTAAAAAAAAATCAAGCTTTATACAAACTAGTTGGACTGTTTCTACGGAACTGAAGCATCAGCTCTAAGAATGTAGGCGGCGGTCCTGCTTAATTAACCAAATAAATGGCAAGATATGCTAGTGATGTATATTTTTTTACGTACAAAGTACAGGATACGGTAATTAGTGGTTACTAGTCATGAATTGGCAGTGATCTATAAATGGGTATTGAAATATACAGAAATCTAACAACTCATTAGATACGTTTGGAATAATCAAAATAGGCTATTTAGCGCCCAACGGAAGACAAACAAATACAAACGAATAGGGTTCCATAATCAGGGCGGATTGAAGAAATCACAGATAAGTATGTAGGACAGGGTATAACCATCGAAAGTACCAAGGGAGTCTAAATTGTGTTTGGGCAAGTAGTCTGGTAAGCGTCACTAAATGGCACTGGCTGACGGAGAACAACTGATTTCGCTCTTCGATTACACGCGTACGCAGTTCGGCGTTCTTCGTCCACACAACTAACTGGCTCTCCAGGTCTCGATTGAGGGACCGATAACTGAAATTTGAGGACCCAATTAGTGTTAATAGGGACGGCGGTGAGGATGGTGCTGACGACGTTATCAAGGGTTTCTGTTCCACCCATAGCCCCTTAGCATGGAAAGTCCAATTGGGACGATAGTATTCCCAAAAGATTGGTGGATTGACAGTTTTCAGCTTGTCCAGGATGCTGAATCTGGAAGAAAGCTTAATAAGGGATTCTCGATATGCCATAGGGATAAAACCGGAAACGCCCCGGGATCGAAGAAATCCATTGGCCTGAAAATAATAAACAATGGGCGCAAATCTGAGTGGTCGCTTCTTTATAAAGGCACACCATGGAAGGGAAAAAAGTGTAATGAAATGCGGACAAGGGTACCAGTCTTAAGGGTGTAACGAGGTCCTACCACAGAAACACCTCTAATAAAACAGCCTACCTTCTACCTACCACGATTATGATCATCACTAGTGTTCTAATACCGGAGTGGCATCCACTGGAAGTTAGTGAGGAACACAATGAAACCAAAACCAAAGGCCTACCTAACTATGTTTTTCTAGATTACGGTTTGATTGGAAGTTAGACATGTAGAGGCCTACCGATGAGCCCGGTTTGATTGTTCCAGTGCTGGTTCACGCGAAGCACCCATTGTATGAAATAATTGACCAACGTTCACTCATTCAGTACTTTTTCTGTTGCCCCTCTGAGGCAGTAACTGTCAGTCATAAACCCGTGTATGTTCCCTTTCCCCATAACTAGGGTTACAAGAGAGGACAAGACGGGTAGTTCCGAATCTCAGACAAGCCTGTGTACCTATCTGATGGACTAAACCACCACCATCACCATCACTGATGCGAAGGCGGGGATGCTTCTTAACTGTTGCAAACTTATTCAAATAAAATCCTATGATAAAGAGGGAAAACACAAGAGGAGCTAACACATCCTCCTCCAGAAACCTGGATGGAAGCTGACACCAAGAACACCATCGACATCGGATAGAGTTAGTCAACCATAAATTTCTTTTCAAGCAAATGAAGCGGGTTTCCACAAACAACAGTCAAACTAAGTCATTAAAACATGTGTTGCTGGAAAAGGATAAATGTGAGGCACTTGGTGCTCACCATGAGCTACCTGAATAAGAATTGCAGGGAAAAAGTAATGAACGTCGCTTCCTTTATATCGTCAAAAAAAACAGCACACACGCCGTTCAGCATAGCTATGCACACAACAGTGGGCTACACATTACTCCAGGGATTTGAACATTATCGGGCCGTTTAATTTAATGCATAATACTGAAGGGTTTCTGCAACACAGTTAGGCCAGAAAGATTGTAATTTTAAGCTACGGGTCCCTCGGAAGCTTTGATTGATGGTCCTAGTCAAAATCACCACGTGGTTTCACGCCGTATCGGTTAGTTGAGATTAAGTCGTATGAGGACCCCTGGCAAATACAAAGCGAGATTGAATCATCGAGGATTTCGTCCCGTAGGTGAAGTCAGTCTAGGCTGAAGGGCCGAGAAGCATTGTACAGCTGCTTCATCATTACTACGAGTCGTAAGTAGTGCATATCCAACAAAGCACTAGGGGAGCTACTCACGAATTTGCTGAAAACCCTTCGACAGCCCATGACCGGTTTCGTCCTTCTTGGGGCTCATCAGGTAGGCGCAGCCACCGAGTTTCCGTCAACCTTATGTTATACTTGAACCCAAATCGGACTGTTTTCGAGAAATACACTCATTTGCGGATCAATCTAGTTTGCACGAGAGACAACTGAATTTCCCGTTTATGATATTCTACGACACTAGGGAGTTTCGAAAGTGCGGTTTTCCGAATGGTAGTTTGAATACGTAGCCGTTCAAAGAACAGCTGATCAGTATTGTGATTAACTCGGATTTATACAGAGTACAGCGTCACTTAGTCCTTCAAACCACATAAGAATGAAACAGCTGTACAGTGTTTCCCGGATCTACTGGCTTGACATACAGGATGAAGTCACTATTTAAGCTTCCCAAATCTACTCACATCATTAATAAACGAAGTGTAATCCTCTGTGCAAAAAAACACTCTATGAACCTCCTAGCAATAGGAACAATGCGATCAAGTAGCACCGCAGAGCTCAATTGGCTTTGCTCGGTTGAGCACATCTGCCTAAATGATGGCGACGACGTGCAGGCGACGTCCACTGACACTTCCATGCAGGACGAAACATTACTGGTGTTCATCCGGAGAGCGTGAGTGTGCACATGTATGCGTTCAGAATATCCTCACTCCGTACATCGCTTCATAAAAGCAAATAAATAAGCATACAATAAATTACCAAGAGTCGTCCTTGATCGGTTCAAGCAAGTCGCAAACCGAACCCATGCAGTTAGAACTTTGCATAATCTGCCGCCCATCCTGAGCCTCAGCTAAACTTTGCACCGTAAACGTCTACTTAATACGACGACAACTGACTTTCCAGTTACGATATCATGATGAACTGATGTGACCAGGCAATTGCGGATTCGTATTCTATTTACTGCTTTAAACAAGTTGGAGAAACGATGAGAGCAATCTGTGCAATAAACCGTCTTATAAACGCCTCCTCGTCGTACAAATCCAGATACCGGATGGAAATGACTGCACGGATCACGCCTGATGAAATCACTGGCATGATCTACCACACCATGGTTACACGTTCAGATCACATGATCTCAGCTATGTCCGGGTCCAAATTATTTCTGTCACCTGACATTTTCAATGCAGAGATCGGAAAAGCTAAAATGGTTTCAGTTAGAAGATGATACAGAGTGATGATTGCTCGGCATGATTCCTTACCATTGGCGATGCACACAGCAACTCCAAACGAGACTGATGATGAACTCTGGCAAAGTTAACAAGTAGCTCTTCATACGACTTCGTCAAACTAAAATATCCAGAAGCCAGAGAGATGTGATATGCATTGTGCTGATCTGAAGTTAATGACTGGAACAATCGTGTGGTGAAGTTCTCATCGATTCGAATATCATAGGGACCACATTGTACAAGAGGCACCACTATGGTATCTGCGGTGGGTATATCCATCGGCTGGAGGCACCGGACCCTTTCCAAATAGTCAGTGATCACCAAACGGAAATCGTTTTTGAATTTAGTGATCGGGTCTGAGTGGGAAAAAGGAAAACAGTAACGAGGTTGAAATCCAGGTCAAACACTAAGGGCGTCATCATTACGGTTGTTTTTCACATAGGAGGATGAGTCGTTTTTGGAATTAGAAAATATTCTGTGCACGGCTCTGACTTTCAATCAAAGTGATGCTTAAGTGGTACACGGTAACACCTTTCTGAGGCACTCTAAAACAGAAAAATCAACGGGCTGTCACGAGTTCTAAAAGGCAAGCAATGAGGACGAGCGACAACTGGTTGTACCTATGAACTGAAAAAAAGAGAAATAAGCAAGGATGTCGGAAAGGTAGCTTTGCCAGCTAGTCATTAAATAGGTACACCACGAAGCAATGCCGTACCATTGAGCCAAATGTTTCATAGGAAGTATAAGCACAGATACGGTAAAGTCGATACGAGCGAAGAACGACGGCAAAACAAAGTAGTACAGTGTTCAAGTTGAGAACAACCAATATTTCGGAAGAAATAACTGAAGGTTAGGAATCAGGTTAGCGGACGGCTACTACATGGACGTTATGGATCATGAGTACACACTTTTGAAGACACTCAACAGAGAATGTGGACATATGGAGAAGGCCAAAGTATGTGATCAGCAAAACGCCCACGTTATCAGATAATGCGAGCGTCTAGCCAACAAGAACAGCTACGCATGATGATGAGGTTGTACAGACCCAATGCTCAAATACTTGTGTTCAGAGGTACGCAGGTAACTAAGTCAACTGGATGTGAATGCTTACGCCTGAGTTTAGCGATGGACTACCAAGCACAAGCAAAACCGCGCGTGTCGAGAATGATACGGGTGTCAAGATCAACAGGTGGTGGCTGCTCAGAGTAGCACCTCAGTTTAATTCAGCACAAACTGGAGGTACGAGCTTTCGACAACAAAAAGAGAATATCAGTCAATGAACGAAATAAATCGCACAATCTAGAATCCTTCTTTTTCACTGATGTCAATCCCAATAGGTGATCGATTATAAGAGGTTGCTCAAGCCCAGCAGTTGAGTTTGGGTTCAGACCACGGAACTTCCGGTCAGTATATATATATATCGCTTGTTTGTTCACACACTAGAATTCCTCTCGCAAACAATCCGGTCGATAGTATTCATCGCTCGCATTGAACAATGCGAGCGAGCGAAGATCCACCATCATCGACATTGGAAGCAACGCCAGTAATACATATAAGAGCGGAAAAAACGGGATTGGTGCGATGAAGCTCTGCTTGCTTAAGAAAAGAAAACTGTGCCTTCGGAGAGCAGTAAAGTAAATGGCGAATCAAAGCGTCATTAAAGGATTCGATCCAATGTATAGGTCAAGTATACTCCTCGGTTCTCTAAATAGTGGGGTTCCAGGTAAGACTACTTCACCTGCCCGTTTCTCTTTCACCTTAGTTAGGAGGTGTCCAGTCCCGAGCAGCCTGCGGGTTTGCAATGCTTTCAGGGCATTCAATCACAAGTAAAGTATTTTAAATATATAACCTTGGACTCTACTGAAATTCAACCAATAGTAGGTAAACGGATTATGGTGTGAAAAACCCATTCCGCACAACCACCTGCTACAGGGAATTCGGCTCGGATTCGATGAATCGAACCCCGAGTCGACACAAAATGAACGTGGTCCGCCTCAGAGGGCTGTTCTGTTACTGTCTTTTCAATTCCCAGACTCCTTCAACTTTGACGACCGATGATCAGGTAATTGCATAAAGAAATGAAAGTGGAAAGTATATGGACACAAGGTGTGGCACTGAAGCCAAGCTCTTCCAAACGTTATTAAGGGTAAAAATATCGAGGATATTTCACCCATTCTCGTCCCAACTACAAACGATGATTGTTCATTGCCTCAAATTATATGAAATATCTGAGTTTCACGGGCTCGGATAACGGGAGATGATACGAACGTATTAGGAGAATCTTTATGAAATTCCAGAGGTCGAGATTACTCTATACGACGGGGTTCCCTCACTCGCCCCAGAAGTACATCCTTACCATAGCTTTATGGGTTGTTTTATACTGTTCTACAGCTTTTGGCAGAGAACTATATCATCAGAACAACCCACCGGGCTTTTATATTGACTGAAAGATAGCCTGATCAAAACAATGGGCGCAGAAATTTTCAATCATTAAGGGCTTTTTATACGTTACTCTGAGATGAGCAGCCGCGTCCCAAAACCTACCTTATGCAGCACCATTCATACGCGGGAACCTCTACATATAACAATATAACAAAACGTCCTTAAAGCTCGGTATATACATAAAATTTGTCCCGTTTGTCGTATGTACATTTATAGACCCTCGTTTCGTTCAAGTTTGTTCCGTTTTTAGTGTGCGCTGACGTGCCCATCACTGAAAAGACGGTTGTCCCGGAAACTCGGCAGCAACGATGAATGAATTGGATCGCTAGTCCTATCCACAAAAAATGTGATTAATCCAAATATATGATCACTTCTTGATTCCTATATCAATGATAGAAGCAATCGTCCCGTGTACCCAGTAGCCCAGATGCACATGATTTAACGGGGACGATCCGAAAAACGAAATGATGAACCAAGATAGCTTTCCCTAAGCAGAAGCGTTTGTTTTGATGCAACTGACCTTTCATTGGATTGGTGTCCACTGAGGTTGCTAAAGTACCCTGTGGTTGGAGCCGATAGCAAAACTTGCTGATCAGTTCAATAAGGCCAGAATAAAAGTCAGACAGCGCGGGGCAACGCTGGAATATCCAAGCACGATCTTGTCTTGCCGTGAAGTATTCGTGGCTTAAGTTTGCCCTGTAAATACATGAACAAGTGATATAGCTGAATGAAACTAGAAATGACGAAGGACTGCAGAATGAAAAAACTTGTAATTAGGCGCGTCCCGACTGATCGTATCGAGATCCGGTAACAATCCAGCCTGTAGGCTTTTTAGGGTTTAGAAAAGACAGGGACTGGGTGGAGATGTCAGCGAGACGACGACCTTATTTTGTGGCAACAGACCACGATCGCTGACATCGTTAGTGAATTGAGGGATATATTCTGACGAATTCGTGACAAGGTGTATAAGTGGCTAAGAGTGCGACTAAATACTGAAGGATTGCAAAAGATGCCTACCATAAAGCGAGCAAACCACAAGGGCGAGTCCATGAACGCGATGGCAGCGACAGGTTAGGTCCTAGTGCCCTGTACACATCAAGAACACCAATGACAACAATGCTTAAACATCCGTTTTCCGAAACAACTGAGAGAACACAGTAATTGTCCGAAGGAGAGGATACAAGGAGGAACCTCTATGTGTGATTTCAAATTAAATTGTGGCTAACGCATAACGCTGTTGTGGCCTCACCTGAAGGATTACTGTATAAGGAATACCCCTTGGAATAATGCGAGGGAACTGCGAGCTAAGAATTTCCCAGCCTAATTGGATGAAAATAATTACACGGAGATCAACAATTGATGATTGTTGGCCATGCCATGGGGGGGGGGAAGTCCTGAGTTGTTCGATTGCTGTATGACTTCGTTTGGCCAACGGTCGGAAGAAAGTACGTAAGTCTCCTTATTCCTACTGTGATCCGAATAGCAACTAATCCTATCAGAATTATTCAGCATTCACAGAGAAATTCACTTGTTTCCTATCAATCGGTACATTCTCAACCAGACTTACAAGCTGTGGCGCATTACAAAAATTACTAAAGCCTGTTCTTTATATAAATGAGCGAAATGCATCCCTCCTTCGACGTCGATCACTACAGTCGTTCATTTACTGAGGATGTTTTAAAGTGGGCCCATGTATGGACCCTAGAGACTCATTCACTGCCCCACCTATTCAGAGGTAAGAACTACTCTGCAACATCAATGACCATTTGAGAATTCGAAGTACACGCTGATGATAGCAACGTTAGTGTGCCGTTGCAAAAATAAAACAATGTTTAATGCATATCAACATACTATGGAAAACACACCCTGTTACCAAAACAGAGTCGTCAATCACATAGGCTTTGATATGTTGAACCCCAATAACTTCATTGAGTCGGTCGGGTAAAAGGGAGTAGAGCCATCCACGAAGATCGGGGTTGTGATAAAGGGCCACGGTTACACCTTCAAGTTTAGTCAGCGGAGCCAAAAGTTCGCACGAAGATCGAAATGACGATGATTCGTTTGGACCAGTCTGATTTACGCCCGCATAGTGCTGCGTAATAGAAGAACACCGGAGGCCACGTGAAGCGTCCAGTAACAGAAGTACTCTGACTTGTCGTTCACGCACAGCGTCCTTGATAGCATTGACCTAAGGTAATGAAACAGGTGAAAGGATGTATAAAAAAGGTGATGATAAATATAGAACTCAGAAAAGCCACTGGGCCACCTCAACTCAACAGACTGTTAACGGTCACCAACCTGAACAGAGATGAGGCTCAATGCAGTTCCTTGGTAAACAGGACAGATTGAAGTAGCCGAATAATCTTATGTGCATTATCTTCGTGTTCTGTTCTAATGACATTCGGTTCACCCGGTTAGGACGATGGTACTTGTACTACTCGTGGCAACCCAAGCACAAACTTTGATGATGTAATTAAAGCTATCCTAGGTCAGGCGACTGCGTAAACCGAAAGCAAAGCTCAAGTCGTAGACATAGCGACCCGATGAGTTGTACATAGTTAGTGGATAGAGCAACATGGAAAGGATAAAACAACCCCTTCGACGCTGCTACTGGTCACTGCCGTATTGCTGAAAGCGTGAAAAACCTGATATGAATTTCGCGATAAACGTTACTTAGTTGGATTTATGGCTGGCACGGCTGTGAGGTATGCAAATAAAGTGTTTGACCTCTAACTGGACATAAATAACTCCGAGCTGATGAACAGCATAACTGTGATCATCGTTATCATCATCAAGGCAACAAATGATGTTGGCAACTAATTGGATGCACTCATCTCTGCATTCAATAGCGAATACATCCAAATAAGTGTTGGACGTCGCATTCATATTGAAGTCAGAAAACATATAGCCACTTCAAAATCTTGCTGTTTACTCTGTCCACGACAAAACTATCAAGCAAACTTATAATGATGTTGAAAAAAGGTGACGTACCAACTGCACCTCTAACGTTCCTGTCCCAATGTATAAAGTGGATAGAACAATTCGGTGCTCTGCCGTTCGGATCCGATCCTGAATTCGTGGAAATAAGAAACAGGGGTGGGATTGCACATAGATGGAAAACCTCGACGTTCATCTAGAATTTTTCCAAGTCAAAGGAGGATTCAGCGGGGAACACTTAGCACAGTTTACTTCTGAAAAAGCATGACTTCCAGAAGCACCCACAGTCCCAAGGTAAGGTCCATGTCAGGCCGGGGGCAGAAGGGATCCGTCCTGGTATACGGATCACATCGGGCCTTCCATACTGCGCTGCCTAGCTAAGAAACGGAGAAGTAATAAGGTGGTTAACAATGATAGGCTCTGAGATGTTTTGCAACTGCACCCCGTAAGCGTAGTTGAAGACACTTACCGGGAAGAAAATGGTGAAGCCAACACAACCAATGTCTGTTTACCACGCGGTCATTTGACGCATGTTTATAGTCACTTTGATTCGCTCATCATCCATTACATGAAAGTGCGATTCTGCCAATTCCTACGAACGGTGTGAGGAAAGCATCATTTAACTGCACAATATCGGGCCTTCGATACAGCGCTACCTAGCTAAGAAACGGAGAAGTACTAAGGTAGTTAACAATGATAGGCTCTGAGATGTATCGCGACTGCACCCCGTAAGCGTAGTTGAAGACACTTACCGGGAAGAAAATGGTGAAGCCAACACAACCAATGTCTGTTTACCACGCGGTCATTTGACGCATGTTTATAGTCACTTTGATTCGCTCATCATCCATTACATGAAAGTGCGATTCTGCCAATTCCTACGAACGGTGTGAGGAAAGCATCATTTAACTGCACAATCACGTAGTCCACGGTTCTAAGGACACTTGCGAAAAATCGGGCGAAATGAGACCATACAAAAATGTGTTCAAACGAAAAAAAATATGTAGAGTCGGATGGTTCCCTGGTTCACTGACAGTCATGTGTTGGTGGTGTGTGGACGACAGGAGTCAGTTTGCTTTTATTCCTCGGTCAGCAGTGTTCTATTGCATGCGGTTGATGAAAGACTTTGTCACTTCGCACAGCAGTATCCAAAAGGTCAGATGCTGATCTGAACAAAGCTCCATTTCAATCAACAACCCGTGCCGCAGTGCGGACGACACTCCGAGCTCACAGACAAACTGATGCTTCACTGCAGTATTTGTATGCGGACTAACATTGTAGTAACGGTATTTTCCTCAGCTTATTTCTCGGTCTGAGCCTCCCAAGCTAGCGTTCACGTCAAAACAACCACCAATGGTGCCAACAACAGACTGAACAACGCACGACCGTCAAGCATGAACAGTTCGGAGGGGATCTCTAGTTTCCTAGATAATTTACGATTTCGAAAGTGTCCTTACGGATTTCGTCACCGATGATCGGAGAAACCGGGGAACTAATTCAGGGGGCTAGAAAGCCGAACGTGCAATCACCTGAACTACGAATTGAAATATCCCACCCCACGACCCATACAGTGATGAATATTATCGGGGTTCCATTGGAGTCAAGAACAGAACACTGTTGCAACTTGGTCAGGCCAATCCTATCCCTCTGAAACCTTTTTCTGCCAAATCTCACGATGTTTTCTAGGACTTCTGGCTCATAGCATGTCATCCCGTACACCATTGTTTGGAAAAAGCTACTGAGAACCTAGAAACCAAAAACATGGTTGGTGGGACCATAGATATTAATTGCAGTTTCTCGAATAAAGTGTGCAATAGATGACCAGAGTTCCTCAACGGACGAAGAGGTTGGCGTTCGTAGCGTAACAGCGAGCTCAATATGAGAAAACGTCGCGAAAGTTGGCTGATCTGAATTTGCGGTTTAGCGTTTACGATGCTGGAAGTCTGAACTAGTGGGAAACCGTGGTCAGAACAGAAGGTCAACAAATGTTACCCGCTGCCATTTACAACTAAATCAAGGCCATGGGGATTTCACATTACGTTAGGCGACCGAACAGCGCGTTCAGACGCTTAGCAAATATAGCAACTTCAATGTTGGAAGCTCATCTTAACAACCCATCTAGCTGGCCTTCGTTCCTGCCTTACATTACAGTGGATATAATCGTTCGCCTAAGCATACACACGAGCAGACCAGATGCTTGGGTTGGGTTCGAACCACGGAACTCCCGGCTAGAAAGTTCTCACCCTAACTACTGAACCAACTCCAGTTCTGTGGATGAGGTTTCAGCGATTTATGGGACTGTTAAACCGACACTGACGCGATGACAGGTATCACAACCAATGACCGTAAAATACAGTGGCTTGATGGCGTTTTCAGGTTGTACTTTCGATGGTCCACCGTAGATCAAACGTGAGCGACTGACATAGTGAAGCCTTTGATTTGAAACAACTCATGCTATGGATAGGAGGTGAATAAAGAGCTTCGAAAACCAGATAGACCCAGTACCACCAGGAAATTGTTAACTTAGACACAAGGATCGACATACACTGAAGATGTAGTTGAACCGACTAGCCCTAATCAACGGTGCTTCAAAGCCAACAAGGTGAAAATGGGGACACAGTTTGCTGTGCAAGTCTACAACGCCGATGAAATGTCAGCTTGATTGATGAGGAAATGCTTCAAAGCAAAGCCACTACATCTGACAAGCATCTAACTACCAACAAACACTTTTATTTCGAATAGTGAACAATTCTGTTCTGGCATACTATGAAACAGGAAAGGGCTGGCTGGCTGGGTTCAAACAACAAAACTGGCACTTACCAAGAGAGTGTCATACAAATCCTGAGGTGTAAGAAGAATGCGTATCTGATCGGCGTTCACCGTGAAAACAGGTAAATCAGCGGCATTGCTAACCAGACAGGAGTGTAATCCAGATGAGAACATGGCGAATAACTTCCAAGAGAAAAAAATATGTATTTCAGCCAACTGCTACTCGAGCAAACAAAATATGCAGAAGGAAACGACTTGTAGGGATTTTGAGTATATTGTACAATATAATACAATCACTAAGTGTGCATGGAAGGGCGTTGCCGCTTAGCTGTTAGAATGGCTCGTTCATCGGCGAAGCCAAGAGAACCACGTTGGAGTTCTATAAAGTCTGATGGCTTCATCTGTTGACCGTTCATAGGGTCAATCATTTCCTTTTTAATGACAGTATCGACCACTTCCTTGGTGACAACAGCACCCGAGGTTTTGAGAACAACACATGCAGTAGCGTTGGTCAAAGGGTCTTTGGAGACAGCGCAACAATACCGGACGCCTTGGGAGGATTTCCCATTGGGTGTATCATCTTCGCTCCTTGTAAATTTAACAGACGTAAGATCCTTGTAACGCAGGGGTTTACCGCTCATTGGACAACGCACCGTAGTATCTGGTTTAACCAATTTCGTCTCTTTCTCGGTTCTTTGGGACACACCCGGTGTCCAAAAGCTGGCCGGTTTTGGTGCTGAACTGTTGTGACTGGACACGGACGCTAACGCCTCTACCTCGGCAGCTTGTGCTGAAGCCTTGGCATGAGTATCCAAGGTATTCAGTGAAAGGAAACGACGAGCTTCTTCCTCGCGCTCTGCTTTTATTCGCATTTTGGTTTCATTGGCTTCACGGGCCTTTTGCTTTTCATAAAGATTAAGCTTCCGTTGGATTTCTGCTTTCTGATTGACCAAATACTCTAAGACCGCCGCACGATCATACAGAAACCCATCTGGAGTAACAACTGGGTCTTGGGTAGGCTGAAGTGACAGGCAACAGCAATCGAACCCAGCAATAGAGTCTTTTCCTAAGCGGACAGTTTGCGTGCCATAGCCTGATCGTTGCGCGTCCTTTTGACGTTCGTGATAAGTGTAGACAGTGTGAGCGGTGCAGTTCTTGGAGTGGCGCGTCATGCCAATCAACTGAAAGGAAGGAAACGAAAAGTTCAGTCACATTAGGTCGATCCTTTGAAATGGCAGACACAAGCAATAGGTACTCGTATACAGCTGTATCACGAACCATGAAACAGTGGACCAAGATAAACGGGACTGGATTAAGTGAGACCAGCACCTAAGGAAAACGCTGCCAAGGCCGAACAGCAGACTAAATCCAAGACAAATAAGAGGTCAAGTGTTCGCCATGTGCACGGGTTTGGGATCATATTTACCAATCCATTGTCCGGTTCGTGCAACATGTATCCCTACCATTGCACGCAACATTGATGACGCGGCCAGTTATAAAGTCCTGAAGCAACACCATGAAACTCAATCAATTCAAGTCAATTTCATCATCATCATCGACAGCATGATATCAGTGTTCAACACCGATGCTTCACTGCCGTACTCAAGTCAATTTGTGAGCTATAAACCATGTACCGTAGTGTCTCCAACCAGGCACAGTGGGGATTACGCGGCCCCCATCCTGGAAGGCGAGCAGCACCGACAGATTCAGGGATAAACCACCGACGCCATAGGTGTCTCAAATTAGCAAATGCGACCCGAGCCTTGAAGATCCGTGCATTTACCTCATCTGTCACACTACAATCAGAACTAATACAACTTCCAAGATACGTTAAACGCTCCACAACTTCCAGTACCTCTCCCTGGATTGTGAGGGGCGTGTTCAGTGAATGTACGTCCACAAGCATGACCTTACACTTTGTGGGTGCAAAGTGCATACCAAAGGACGGGATGACTTTGGTCAGTTCATCCAAGAATACTTGCGCCTTCTCCTCCTCTTCGAACATGAGAACGATGTCGTCTGCATATTCCAGATCGACAAGGTTTTCTTCACTGGCTATTTGAACACCAGGGTTTTGGAGACCCTCCAGCGTTCGTCTCATTATTTCATCGATCACAAAGTTAAAAAGGAATGGAGAGAGTGGGCATCCCTGACGGACACCGCTTTGTGTACGGAAGCTTTTGGAGAGCTCTCCGTACACTCTCACACGTCCGGAAGTCTGAGAGTACAAAGAACGTATTATGTTTACAAACTTACGGGTCATTCCTTGGTGGGCAAGCGTCTCAAGAAGAACAGAACGGTCAACCGAGTCGAATGCGCCTCGGAAATCCAGGAACACTAGAATTGTGAGTCGCTTATACGTATGGCGTTGTTCTACCACCTGGAGGAGTGTGAGGATTTGGTCAACGCAGCCCCTATCAGTCCGAAATCCCGCTTGCTGCTCTCGAGGCAGTAACTCAAGAGCCACCGTAAGGCGACGAAGCACAATTGACGCCAACAGTCTCGTTACGACCGGGGTCAAGCTGATCCTCCCTGTGGTTACCACACTCACTACGCGCCCCGGAGATCATCCGGGCCAGGAGCTCGGTAGTGCTTGAGAAAACATATGCAATCGTAAACATTCAAGGCCGTAGGTGGTTCCACGTCCAGCGTCCAGGGTTCTACTTCAACTGTGGGCTTCAGATGAGTGCCCGCTGGTGGCCACGACAGTTGTTCGAAGGATTCGGCCCACCGGTCGAGACGTTTTTCTTTATTCGAGATGGTCATTCCATTCTGATGCTTGGTGGTTTTACTCACTTTCGCGGGTGCCAAATTTATGTAGCTCTGCGAAGGAAACGACATTCACTTGGCTTGATTGTCTGGTCGAACTATTCGCTACGTTTACGAAGGGCTAAAATGGCTAAGTGGTTAAGGTGCGAGCTTACTGACTGGAAGATAAGCGGTTCGAACCCAGCCCCGGCACCTCGACTACTTGTCTACGGTTGTGAAATCTGGCAGTGTCTCAACACCCGTGCTCTCTTTAGATGCAGCTAGGCACCTAAAGGGTATTATAACTGAGGGTACTTAGGAATACGCACCCGGACAACTGTGACACCAAGGGATTCCATATACACACCCCCAGTTTTCGTCAAATGCTGAC